CAAACTAAACAAACCTTAAACTTTTTTCTTGAGAGTTACGGAGCCAAATAATTTCATGTAATTGTGTTGAATTGGAATTGCCATTTCATGCACATCCCTATTACCTTCTGATTAATTAACTTAGTACAAAATATTTCATTTGTAATCCTTTTCTATCAACATGAAGAAATTGTGTTTCGTACTACTAGCGTTCCTCTTTTTATTTAGAGAGAGATATTGATCTAGCTGAATCTGAGGAACTCATGAGCAGCCTGCTTTTCTTCTTCAACTTGAATGCATCGCAACTGCCAATAAAAGTTCTCCATCAATCAGGTTAGTGTTGCTTCAAAATGCATGGTGCTACAATCTATTTATTGTGGTTATATGATTTAAATTTTGGGAATGGTTTTCATTCTTGGTGCCTTTAGAAACATTGAACTTTTTTGCTATTCTATTTTTTTATATATATATCAGAGGGTTAGTTACTTAGTATTACAGAAATTTGAATTTTGATTTTAATCTTAAATTAAGGTTTTAAATTTAACAAGTATTAATCTAATTAGGCTTTTGTTGGTATATGTTATTCCTTTTTCTTTTTTCTTTTTTTTTTTTTTGCATCTAAAGCCAAGGCAGGAAAAGTAAGTTGCATAGGTATTGGTTACCATTTCTTATTAAAGTGAATTTTTATTTTTGATATATATGCATGGACATGAACATCTAGGGCGATGATATGGAGGACAAATATATAGGACAATATTATGGGACCAATAATATGGCTTGTCACATTATTATTTTTATTTTTAAAAATTTTAATTTAAAATTATTTTTTTATTTTGACAGGCTCCCTGTCTCTTATTTCTCTCACTCATCTTCTCCATTTTTGCCTCCAGCTCCTTCTCCATGGTATGATTCGGTTCAAATCCATCTGAATTATTTGAAACTCCATGGCAATTGTGTTTTTTTTTTTTTTTTTTAAGAAAACTAAATCCTAAACTATTAGGTGAAATTGAACCCTAAAAAAAGTATTCAATTTTTAAAAGAGAAATTTAAGAGAAAAAGGAGTATGATTTGAGAGAAAGAGGTAAGATGACTCTCAATCCCATTTCTATTATTTAAAACCCTATCCTTATTATTTAAAACCCCATGGTCATTATTTTAAATTTTTGAAGAAACAAAAAAAAAAAAATTAAACCTTAACTATTGGATGAAATTGAACCATAATTAATGGAAATTGAACCTTAGAAATGATATTCACTCTTTGCAATGGAAGATAAGTGAGAAAAGGGAGGAAGATTTGGGAGAGAGAGACGTAAAAGATGCGATGAAGATGAAGGCAAAACTGGTAGAGAATTAAAAAAAAAAAAAAAAAAAAAAACAAGTACGAAAAGGAAAGAAGGGAGAAGATGATTGTCTGTTATATAAGACTCTATTTAAAATAATACTTTGTTAAGATAATTATCACCTTATATTTGTTCTCTGTTTTCGTCTTATTTTTATAGTCTCAATTATCATTATTCACTCCTATCCATGTATACAAAATAGGATATACTTGCTAAACGAACATATCCGGACCATTTTTCCTCAGGTTGTAAGATGGAGGGAGTAAAAAAAATGATCATTGGATAATATTGAACCTATGAATACAGAGACAAATGTCCACAAAAAGAAACATAATACATACTGCAATTCCAATATTCCATGCCCCTTCAAACATATTCCACCACAATCGCTTTGACAGATAAACAGTATGAAGATAAGCTAATGACCTGACAGTCTGACACTTCATTTTTATGCATGCGTGGACAGGAAGTTTTCAACACAAAATTATTAAATTTTTTTTTTTCTTAATCTTTTTTTTGAACTTTTGTTTTT